AGTATTTTTGGGTATAAAAAGGTAGGGGTCGGAGGTGAGGATAGGATGAATGGGAGAGAAGTGCATCCATCTGGACTGAGATTGGGATTGGGGGAGATTTAATTTAGAGACAGAGAATAGAAAAATGGCATAGATCCTGAAAGATTGAAGGGCACAGCATCGAGAAAGGGAAGGTAGGTCTGATTCAGCTCCTAGGTTCTCAATCGGATAGGAGCGGAAAGCACTTAAGGCTAAGTGTAGACCACAGTTGTGGGTAGTATTAAGGTGAGTAAGAAGAGAGATAGAAGCACAAGAATAGATATGACAGCCATAGCCATGAGTGGAGAGGATCAGTGAAGTATGGAGATGGAGGAGAGTTGTGTGGTCTGAACCCCAGGATATATGAGTGAGAGTCTGTAGGAGTTGGAGGTGGCAGCGAGTTTTCTCTTTGATGTAGAGGATGTGGTCTCGCCAGGAAGGTTTGGAGTCAAAAATGACTCCGAAGAATTTGCCTGAGGAGCGGAAGTGGAGAGAGTATAGGTTGTGGATCTATAAGTGATTGAGAAAAAAAAGATGGAGAAGGATTTGGATTTTGGAAAAGTGGAAGCCATGGTCAGTGGCTCAAAAAGAGATTAAAGATATTGCGGGCTGGATTAGTTGACGGAGAGTAGGCATAGAAGGACCCAATGTATGGATGATAAAATCATCTACTTACAGAGATAATCGGATTCATGTTGATAATACAGAATTTAAAAGAAATAATGTACTAAGTACACTCCCTTGTGGGACACCTTCATATTGAGTAAAATATGAAGTTGAAGAGGGAAATTTGACTCGGAGGATATGGTCAGAAAGGAAAGGTTTAATAAATACTTCCATGAACGTTCCCTCGTATACCATGAGATGATAGCTGTCTCAAAATGTGGTGTCATCATATAGTGTCATATCCTTTTTCCAGGTCAAATAAATCGGTTAATACTGAGTTTATGGCGTGCAAAGGCAGATGTTATATAATTTTCTAAATGTGCCAGAGGGTCGGCTGTGCTTCGAGCACGACAGAATCCAAATTGGGAAGAGGATAGAAGACTGTTGGATTCAAGGTACCACATTAGTCGTAATTTAGTAGATTGGCCATTCTTTCTAGCAACTTGCACAGACAGCTAGTCACAGCAATGGGCCGGTTGCTTGGAGGTATGGGTGCCGGAATTATTAGGTTTAAGATAAGGTACAATAAAAGCTTCGGGCTAGTGAGGAGGAAAGTTTCCAGTCGTCCAAATATTGTCAAAGATGTCAGTAGGAAGGATAAGGAGATAGATGGAAGATGTCGCAGCATGCAGTAATGAATTCTGTCAGGGCCTTCATTGTATTGCAGAACGAATGTAAGGCAGAAAAGGGCTCAGTGGAGGAGAAGGAGGCATTGTGGGGTTCAATAGAGGATAAGGAAGAGATGGGAGTGTGTTCTTTGGCTGTTTTAATGGAATGGAATTGGGAAGGAAGGTGGAAGTCATTACTGACCTGGATGAAGTATAAATTAAGTTCAGTAGAAACTTGGAAAGGTTCAGAAAATGAGTACTACGGAAGTGGAGGGCTGGGGCAGGATGAGGGGTTTTTCCTGATCGTTTATGGATTCTACATCATACTGCAGAAATAGGTGTAGAGGAGATTATTGTGGAGACGTAATTTTGACAACTAGTTTTAATTGAGATTTGGATTGCGCGACGTAGTTGAGTGATGCTCTTTTTAATTTCACAAAGGCTGATGTTTGACCGGGGCTATATTACTTGTAGCGATTACTCCATGCCACACGCTTCATCCGAAGTGCTTTGTAGAGTTCAGTGTTTCACCATGGAACAAACGTAGATGTGTACGGTCGGGGAGTTCAGGGAATGGCTGTTAAGACAGAACTTAGGATATTGATTGTGAAATAGGAAAGCATGTCTGATGTGTAAGAGAAGAGGGAGAGTAGAGGTAATAGTACGCCAATCTGCTCTATCAAAGTACCAGCGTGGAGGGTTGGGGAGCAGAACATAGGAAGTAGGAGAGAGCATAGGGAAGGCGATCCAGAACTGACCAATGGAAGTCAGGATGAAGGAAAGGGGAGCAAAGAGAAGGGCCAAGGCTTGAGTGTGCATGTCGAAGTCGGTGAGGTGATCCGTGTTGAAAATGACAAGGTCAGTGTTGGGACCGGGCATAAGTAGTCGCTACCCCAGAGACCGTAGCGACAGTTGAAATCGCCGACTATATGGAATGGTAGTTGAAGTTGAGAAAGTTTTGAAGGCATGAAAGTCAATGGGAAGAGCAGAAGAAAAGTAAACTGAAACACCTGTGATCCAACGGCGAAGAAATATGCGTATAATTGTGCAAAGTGGTTTGGAAGGGAGTAGTGTATGGCGTTTTTTGTGTTTTTTATTTGATGGACGAGTAGATAAGGTAGAAAGAAGGTGAGATGACGATATAAAATAATTTGGAATCGGTACTGGAGGATGTGTTAGGAAGGTTTCTTGGAGACAAATGGGTTGTAGGAAAATGTGAGGCGAGGTGACGAAGATCAGGTCTGTGAGAACGGAAACTTCGAATGTTTCAACAGGTGAGATAAGAGTAAATGTCTGAGAAGTAGGAGGAGTACCTGGGGACTGGGGTAGGGGATCAGAGGAAGGGGTGAAAGTGTAATATCAGGCTCATCAGGGAAGCGAGGTGAAGGTGTAGTATCAAGAAATTCATTAAGGAAGGTGGGATCCGGGGAAGGACATTTTGACAATAGGGATTCGCGTGTGGTACTGAGGAAGATGCAGACTATTTGGGTAGAGGGTATTGGAGTGGATAGAAGGATGATATTGAAGTAGGGAGTGATTGAAAAGCCTCGTCGGTGTGCTTCCTGTCTGGCGTCTCGTAGAATGAGGCCAAGACTGTGGAGCAACAGTGCTTTTTGCAAGGAAGTTAAAACACCTACATTCCTGGTTGATATTTATTTGTTCATTGAAAATTTTCTGCAGTGTCAACATCTATGGTCGGCAGCGGCATATTCAAAATGTGGTGATAGCGTGAGGCTTGGGGCAAAGACCCCAGGTAGAGATATGCTATATGGCATCCAAGGCCATATGGCGCTATGGTAGAGTAGCAAAAAGGGTTAGATAGGAGTTAATGATTAGGGTAAAGTTACGGGTTGAACATTACTAGAGGGTAGTACGATAGTGAAAAGGGTAGAGAGGTGGTACTGATGAGGTATAGTATAAGGTAAAGGTTATTGAAAGGGGAAGGAATTAAGGGAGTAGGGAGTATTATGATTAAGTATTTTGGAGGAAACATAAAAAGTAAATTTTATGATTAGGATAAGTGGCAGGACAAGGGGATAAAAAAAGAAAAGGAAAGAGAAGAAAAGACCATGCAAAATTTGGTGAGGCAAGGGCTGAGGACCAAGGTAGGGGTCATCCCCCAAATTGAGCCTCAGTCCCGGTCTCGTAAGCTCCCTAATGGCAACAACGAGCAAGGGGGGTTGGTAAGGTCTGTCAGGGGAAGATTCTCTTCCTATATCCCAATACCGACGGGCATGGCGTATACGTACGTTCCATGCCCACTGCGAGTTACTTGTTTGATTGTTTTAACACACAGATGGCTACACTTGTATCAAGTCACCAATGAGCCAATTACGAGTACTGCCAGTCTCGCCCGTTCACCCTTTTCTTTGATTTACGAAAATATTTTACGTTATCTTATTTTGCTCTTACTAATGTTTATGACACTATAGTAATTATAAGGTTTATAATAAAAATCACACCTTCGATATTCATAGTACTAGTAAAAAATACACTTTTTTCTGCCAATTCAAATCAGGTCAGGTCACAAGGTCTACTAATTGACTCTTCTGTAGCTAAGCACTAGCAGAGCCATCAATGTGCAGATATTTCTAAAAAAAAATATATAGAAAATGAGCACTGCATTTTCCCCATTTTTATTCATTTTCCCTGGCGGCATTGGGATATAGATCTTATGGGGATGGTCATGTCAATGAAAAGTAATCTTGACAATACTGATGTGGGAAGTATGGCGGCATCTCTACTGATACTGCATTGTAGTCAGCGAGGCAGGAAAGTAGGTCATCTCCACAGCCTGGCCAGTCTTTGTCGTAGAAAGGGCAATCAGCCGGGGAGATGAAGACGGTTCCAGTACATGTATTAAGGGAGGAGTGGGGTTGGGCAGGTATAGGTTTGCCTTTGAGGTCAACCAGGATAGACAGTGCATAGTGTAGAGACTCGGATGTAACTGTGACAATTTGTGAGCGGTCAGGACAACTGCGGAAGAAAACCTTGCCTACATGTTATGGGGGGCACTGTTGGAAGAAAGGGTTATTATCGGGCTGTTGAGGGAATAAAAAAATCTGTCCCATTTGGCTGGGCTAAATAGGGTATTCAAAAGGTTTGTAGAAGTGGCCATTGTAGAGTTGAAGAGTTGTAACAAGGGAGGAGGAGGTAGAAAATGAAGACGATTGTGCAGGTGGTGGGTTGGATTATATTGGGAGGAAGGGTTGTAACCTGAGTATAAGATTCGCGATGGATCAAGTCGACGGTTTGTGTCAATAAGGGGAGCGTAGTAGCAATGTTCAGAGTAGTGATCAGAGGAGAGGCAGGGGTCAGTAAACGAGAGGACCATGCAAAATTAAACGAGTCGAGGGCTGAGGCCTAAGGTAGGGGAGATCCCCAACATCTCCGTCTCCTAAGCCCCCTTCCCCCACGACAACAATGGGTAAGTGATTGGTGGTGGGGGGGTGGGGGTTACAGTATTGAGGCCTTGTTAAACAGCAACTTTGATAGCAGATCAAGGGTATTCCCAATGCTCGTAACTAAATGATATTTGAGAGCATAGGTAATGGGTGTTTGGCAGGTTTTCCCAAAGTCTGAGCAATATTACTAGACCCAAGATCAAAGAATGGCCATATTACAGTAGTTCTATATGTGACTGGAAATAAAATCCCACTGTAATGGTAATGCCTTGTTTACTTTGCAACAGGAAATAAAATACCATAGTAAGGGTGTTACTTTATTCCATTATAAACAATCATCCACAAGTCATCACAACTGAAGAAATCTTTAGATCTCTCTCAAACAATAAAAACCTAAAGTGCATAAATTCACTTGAAAATGTAACATCAAAATACTCTAAACTGAAAAGTTTTATCTGTGTAATGTATATATCCGTAGACCTACATAAATCAGCACGTGTTAACTTTATATGTGGTTCACACACCTGGAGAGCATCATGCTTCTCCACAGATGTCCATCTCCTTATCGACCTGGGTTTACACATCACTAAAATTTTTGTACTCCATACAATCAGAGGGGAGAGGGTTGTTTACCCTTCAGTCAGTCACTAATGCACGGCACTGCATCACTGTTTGTTCCAGGCACTTGGTGCTTGGATATGTTCTCCCATGATCAAGTGCAATAATTAATTGATACAAGTCGGTAAACCCAGATTTTCTATATCACTTTTTGTCTGCATCTTTAAATAACTCGGACACACTTCAACAATTCACTATCACCGTTTCACTTCAAGCCATTCACAAGCCTTGATTTCATCACTGCTGTGTTGTCTCTTCATCGTGATCCGCAAGAGGGATAAAACACTTCAACTTGTCAATTCATGTTTTAGAGTACCCACAGGTACGGTCCATTATTAATTTGGTCGTCGAGGGATGGAAACAACTGTCTTTCCCTTACGTTTTGGGCCTCTTGAGGCATTTTGAAAAGCTGTACAGCTTTGCGAACGGCATTCCATGAGGAAGCTATAGGACAAACGCTGGTCAGTACTGGTGATCATCGTAGTTCCCGCTGGTACCCTGACGAGTCATCGGTGAATCTCACAGCGCAGGAGCTCTCTCGTCACCCATAACGCTTTCAACACTTCCCTTACCACCCAATGCTCTTCTGATATGTAAATAAAATAAAAATAAGCTTCACCTACTCTTAAGCTAATCTAATGACTATTCAAGGCAAAATGAACGAAATTAAATACTTACCATTTGGTACAAAGCAATGATGTGAATGCATTGCAAACACAGACAAAGAAAATTAGAGAAGTCGGCTCTTAAAAAAAATCAGAATATCTTCTAGACATTCTTCTACTTATTCTTGACTCACTTCAGAATCTCTCAATCAAACCTTGGACAGCATAAATAAACCTAATCCTAACACCAGAAGAGCACTGCGTGGTGAAAACCTGCAGAAAAGGGGGGATGAGGTGGTGGTGGGGGGAGGGAAGTGATGAAAGTTTGAAGGATGCAAGAAGGATATGAGAGGCATGAGGTGAGGAGGGGGAGGTAGCACACATGTGTAACAATAACCTTGTAGGTGGTAGAGGACTGGTGCGTCGGAGCTGGTGTGCTGAAGCCTCTTTTGTTTTAGTACAGTACTGCTTCTAGGAAGATGTGGGCCGGTAGGACCCAGCAATCAGTTGTAGTGGTAACTTGTCCTCCTCCTCCTCTTGTTGCATATGGATTCGTTTACATGTTTTTGCAAGCTCTCTCTTTCTCTCTTTCATGTTTCCTTCACATGGTTGTGAGCTCCCCTCATCACAATGCCTTCATGGAATCAAGTGCGGGATCTTGAACGGCTGCGGCTCCTCCGGCGAGATCGTCGCGACTCCCTGCTGGCGGACCGCCGGGAACGTTGCGGTGATCTAGGGGGAGGGGGAGGAAGAAAGGAAAGGCATATTAGTTTGGCTTGTGATAACCGGCTTACTTGCATCAATAAAAAAAAATCATGGTAGTTAAAAGAGGCAGTCACCAAATTTAATTTGTAATGAAAAAGGAGGTAGACTACTGACTCTACTGTGTGATATCCAACACACAGACTTTTCTACTCAAAAAAGCACAAACTATTATCACTCATGCAAAATTTTGAAGAAGAAAAATGTGCACCCATAATTAATTGTTCTTTTGCGAGTAAAGGCACAGAGAGCCAGATAACAAGAGTGTGCACAGACACCACGGATTTGAGTCTGTTTTAATTTTCCCCGTGTGAAGGCGTTATGCCAGGGTGGATGATAACTAGGTCTGTATCTCCCTGATATGATGGTCACTTAATCTGAAGAGGCCTTGCCACGCGCACTAAGCTTTATCTTAACTGATGAAAAAATCAAACCTTTTATCTCACACTCATGCTTTGCCAAGATAATACTAAACAGTCATAATGAGAATAGAACAATAAACTTTGACATTCTGAGCATTATCACTCCCAATCTACAGTCGAACAAAAACAGCTGTCCTGATGCTATACATCTAACAATACTCATTCATTCACTATCATACACTGTAAAATATACAACCATGTGGCTCAAAAAGTACCCAAGACCAAGAAAGCATCCGTACCTTCGAGGAGACTTCCCTGCTGACCTTCTCGGTGACCTCTTGGGAGAACGTCTGGGTGACCTTCTGGGGGACCTGCGGGGCGACCTCCTCGGGGACCTTCGCGGTGACCTCCTTGAGGAACGGCTCCTCCTACGGGACCTTGACCTTGAGCGGGACTTGCGAGCGTTCTTCTCCTTCTCCTTCTCTCTCTCACGCTCTCTCTCCTTCTCGCGCTCTTTCTCCCGCTCCCTCTCCTTCTCGCGTTCCTTCTCACGCTCCTTCTTTCTCTCAGCTCGGATTTTCTCCCATTCTTCGTTCTCCTTCTCCTTGGCTGCTTTCATCTCTGCCTGAAGGCGCTCCACCTCGGCCATCTTCTGGCGTCGCTGTGCCTCCTTCTCTGCAATCTGTGGCAGAAGGGAAGCTTAGTCGTGTATGGAGGGTGAGGGTGGGTGGGTACATAGGTGAGTGAGTGAGTGAGTGAGTGAGTGAATGAGTGGGTGAGTGGGTGAGTGAGTGAGAGTGACAAAGTGAGTGTGTGTAATGCTTATCTACAACAAAAATATCAAGGTGAAGACTTTTCAACTGTCCATCTTCAACTCCAAATATTGTCTCATGAATACAAACACAGGGAATTTTAAAACATTTCTAAATGGATGTCAAAAAGAGCATGCATCTCCTCAAATGAAATATATTTAAAAATCACTGAGAGTGCATTTCCTCCCTCCAAAAGAATAAATTGAATAAATTCTTAAAAATCTGTTTCAACTTGATAACACATTTACCTGGAATACTCCCTTACCTGTGAGGGATACTGAAACCTAGGTATCAATGAGAAAGTTGAAAATCAAGAAAGAATAAAACTGGACAGCTGGCTGTATACACAGTTCAGAGGCATATTTGCCAATACAACTCATCAGAAGGAAATAGGAAGACCTTATATTCACATCATCCGCAAAATATACTTTGAGACAGCCTACCTGTTCGGTGGTCAGCGGCAGCCAGTAAATAGCCGGCTGTGCCTTGGTTTTGCGGAACAAATCATCCAGCAGCTTGGCAGGAGGTTCCTCTGGTTTCTTTTTCTGTTTTTCACCTAGAAATTAGATATTGTAAAGCATTAAATTAGAGTTAATAAAAAGGTTTCTCATCCTTTTCCCCACCTACTAGCAACTGAATGTATATCATACAAAGCAATACATTATTCGGGCAAGCTGCAAGTTGCAACAATAGCAACACCCTGAAAGGAGAGGATCAACCAACAAAAACAAAACCATTTCTCACAATGGCAGAAAAAAATTATATACAAGATTACAAAAGAAGAAGATCCAAGACCTCATACCTTCAGCCCCGCTTGGACTCTGGCTCTTGCGGCGTTCTCTCATTCTCTCCTCCTCCCTCTCTCTTCTCAGCCTCTCGCGTTCCCGCTCCCTCTCCCCTGGCGAGCGCTCTCCTATCTTCGCCAAGTCCCACTCACGCACTGGCCCTTCGCGCTGCACATAGCAAAAGATTGGGTGAGCAAATATAGGAGCACTGTTCATCTAAAATTCTCATTTCTACGAGTCTAAGGCCAAGAAATGTCCTTAGTACAAAAGCTTAAAAATCACCTCAGAGAAAAGAAAAAGAATAAATATGATCAAACTTATCACACATCTTGAAATCTCATATTTATCTTCCATTCACACTCTACAACTATTCAACCAAACTACAACCAAATTAATGAATTAAAAAAGTATTAATCTGCAGCTAGCCACCGGACACAGCTCTCCTACTTACTTTCCATTTATCATCTCGTTTTTCTTCAATGGCTTTCTGGGGAGGAGGGGCGTTCTCCTCCAGTCTCTTTTTCATCTCCTCCTAATTTAAGAAAAGAGAATGGTGTTCAAATATGCAATGCTGACGTGTGCTCTGTCTCTGAACGCAAACAGATGACAAATGACTTGTATCAGAACAACTATCAGATGTTTTACATTATATTATATAACATCAGTAACAAAACCAACTGAATTTTTAAAAATCGAGAAATGCAACTGAAAGTAAACTCTTTGCAGTGCAAGACATGTATCTGACTAGTTGCAATTATGTCTTTGTCAGACCTACATGTTTTTTTGATGAAGATAAAAGTGAAACTGGTCATTTCTACATTTTTTACATTTGTCACAATGAACACTGTTCAAAAGTAAACTCACCACATAAAGAACAGAGAAAAGAAGAAGAGGAAACCGAGATGAAAGAATTAATCGAACTGACTGAACCAGTGAAAAAAGGAAGAAAGAATATGGGAGAGAGAGAAAGAATGAGGGAAACACACAAAAAGAAAAGAAAAATAAAGCCTTACCTCAGTGGAAAAATCAACAAACAAATTCTTTGGGTTTGACATTGGCCATTTAACACCATGCAAAGCAACACGGGTTTCTTGAGCTTGATCCTCATTTTCATACTGTGAAAAAGAAAATTATTATTATTATTATTTTTTTTAACAATTAATAACCTGTCAAGAAAACACTTAGGACAGGCAACTGTATATGTATTTCTATACTAACAAAATGGAAAAATTCATCATGTAATTGTACCATACTCTACAGGTTATTAATAAACAAAGCAATATGTTGGGAAACGCTCTGAAGCAAATACAAACACAACCCTCACCATTGCCAAGCACTTGGACTTGATGTTGTCAATCCAGAAACCATTATCTACTAATCGACCAGTTCTCTGCAGCAACTCGCGCAGCTGGTTGATGGTGAAGGGCCGGACTAGGTGCTGGATGAACACTACTCTGGAAGGTGGGTTTCGTGCAGGGGGAACGGCCGGCTTGCTAACCGGAGGCCCTTCGTACATCCTGATCTTCCTCATGGCTTCTGGAACGGGAGGTGGAAATTGCATAGAAAACGAACTGGAGCCTTCCCAGTGGCTGGATATTTTTTAAAGGAATCTATTGCAAAAGAGGATTAAAATAGTCTGAAGCTCTCATTATAACCAAGTAATACTTTTAATCCAGAGGCCATTATCAACATATAAAACCGAAAAAGTTAAAAACTGAAAAAAACTCAGCTTATCATAATAAAAAAATAAATAATAAATAAATAAACAAAATAAATAGGTAAATAGGCAAACAAGTAAACAAACCTTATAAACACAAGTCACTAAAATATAACCCTAGAAGAATCCTCTCTGGCACACTTACTCTCCTCCGGTGACTTGGATCGCTTTCTCTGTTTGACTGCCACTGGGGAAACCTCCCGCACCTCACGCCTGGGTCTGGCCTCCTCGCCCTCTTCCATTAGCTCTTCCTTGGCCTCCTGACCCAGGCTGGGGGGTGGTTCAGGTCCCTCGGCGTCACTTGCCTCTCCTGACTCGGGTTCTGAGTCTTCACCCATGTGCAGTTCCGAGGGCAGGAGGGGCTTCACATCAGGGATAATGGTCTGTGGATTGGAAACAAGATTAGATATTGATGTAAGTATTTGCGCTATTTGCTGAACAAGTTTGCATGTTTAAATCCAGCTGAAGGTGCTATTTGGGTCTAAGTATACTATTAGACCTTGTGCCCTAGAATGAACAATTAGAGGGGAAGATTTGCAAGGAAGGCCAGCTGAAAACATACAATTCTCATAGAACTACAAAGTAAAGCAAATCCTGACTCAAAAGTACAAAAAAAGTAACTAACCTTAAGGGAAGCTGAGGAAATATCCACGGACATTTTCCTTGAGGATGAATTACCCCACTTCCTCTTCTTGGGCTTGTCTGTGTCTTTTTCAGCTTCTTCATCCCTTGACTTCCCTCGAGATAAGCTTACTGTTGAGTAGAATAAGAGGGACTTCAGAAGACAGGGTAAATAATGAAGCCTTTTCATATTTCCGGTCTCAGAGTTTCACACACTATTTGAGTAATGATGACTAATTCTGTCCTCATTACTCCACAAAAAATAAACAATTAAAAGTTATACATAAAAAAAAATATATATATATATATACTCTGCACAACCTACCTTTCCTCACTGACTTGAAAGAAGAATAATCTATCATAGGCTTTGTTTCCTTGTTCTCCTTCTCCTCCTCCTCTTGTTGTCTTCTGTCAGAGTTTTGGCTGTCCTTTCTGCTGTCAGACCATGATTTGCTGTCCTTTTTGGATTCATAGGAGTTTCCATCTTGCTTATGGGTCTTGCTTTTGGGAGATCTGGTGGTGAAGAAATATTATGTAGTTTTGACTCCTGAACATGAAGAATGATAATTGGTTTATTTATTCAAAGAAAAAATATATACATAAATAATTAATGACTATTTAGAAAAGCCTACCTTGACCGAGAGCGTGAATGGCGACTCCTCTTCTCCGGCACCGCAGGCACATGTCGTCCCTTGGACTCTTCGCCATTATCCTTTGCTCTGGAACGGTCGGGGGAAGCAAGGAATTGCCTCTTGCTCGGGGAAGACCTTGACGAATCAGCTTCTGGCTTCTTCTTGCTTGCGCTGCCAAACCGCTTGCGGTGGCCAGAGCCTGATCTCGAGCGGGAGGAGTTGCTCGAGGAACTTGAGGAAGAGGATGAAGAGGAACGCTTCTTGTGCTTCTTGTGGGCAGGGGACCGGGAAGAATCGCTGGATGACCTGAAATTATGAATGCCTTTTTAATTCTATATTCTAAAAAGTCTTGCATTTAGAGAGAAAACACGTTGAGCTTCACCCGACTAAAGGGAACCACACCATACCTGCTTTCTGAGGGCGAGCGATCTTTCCTGCTCTTCCTCTCCATCTTGCCCGCCTTTGCCTCTGGAGCCTTCACCTCGTTCCTGTTGAGCTTTGGTCTCGATGCATCCTTGGAAGTCTCAGAATCGCGTCTGCTCCTGCTTGAGGAGTCTCGCCGTTTGTCGGTGCTGCGTCTTCTGTCATCCCTCTCGTCTCCACTCGCCGAGTCTCTGCGGCTGTTGAGCTTGGTCTGTTCCTGCTTGGCCTTCTTTGGTGAGGGTGATCTTGAGGGGCTGTTAGAGGATCTAGTGTAATATAAAAATTGTCATTAATAATAATAATAATAATAATATCAATAATAATATAATAACAATATAAAATATCATATATGTTAAATCTAACATACAAAATTCAAAGACCTCTGTCTCTCTTAACAATTGAGAGAGAAAAAAAAGTCCACACATTTATTACTTAAGATGAAAAAACAGCCATTCCCTGTCAAAAACATACCTGCTGCTGGAGCGCGACCTGTCCTTGCGGCTCTTCTCTGGTTGATCAGCCTTTACCTCCAGCATTTTTACCTCATTCCTCTGCAGTCGCGGCCGAGACATTGAGCTTTCCTTCTTATCGTTCGAGGAATTTTTGCCGTCCTCTTCAGCTTCTTCCTCCTCATTACCACTCCTACCACTGAGGTTTCTCTTCCTGTTGTGTTCCTCTGACTCTCTCAAACTTCTTTCCTGGGGTGATGGGCCTTCCCCTGTCGCTTCTTCATCCGAGCTCTCGTCTCTGTCTTTGCTGGTTGATTCTTCTCTGTGTTTCCTTGGTGATTTCTCACGTGGTTTATTGGGGGAGTCATCTTGTGACTTCTTGGGAGATTCCTCTGCAGGAGCTTCTTCTGTCTCTTTAGTATTGGCATCATTTTTCTCTGATGCCTCAGCACCTTCTTCCTTCTCCTTTGAGTCTCTTTTGGGCTTTGCAGTGTTCGGAGTCTTACCTAGACCATCCTTGGTGGAAATTTCATTTTCTTCCTTCACTGGTGACTCCACCCTTGAATTCTCGCATGGCTCCTTGGCCTCAGCTGATTTTTTTGGTGTCTCACTACAGCTCTCATTCAACTCCTGGATGTCTTCCAATTTCTTGGGCGCGCCATCGACCAATTTTGCCTCGGGTGGATCTTCCACCTCCTCTGGTTCTGTGCTTCCGCCTCGTGACATGCGGCGCGACCTCCTCAGGGGGGTCTTGGGAGCCTCCTTCTCTACGCTGCCGCTTTTCCTCCTCCTCCTAGTTGTGGCCACTGCCTGCTCCTGCTCTTCTTGCTCCTCCTGCTCTGTGCTCTCACCTCGCGCATGCCGGCCTCTGGTTTTTGCTCCTTCACTTTCAGCCACCTTGTCCTTGTCCACGCTTCTGCTCCTGGAGCTGCGTCGGGAACGGCTTACTCTAGTAGTCTCCTCCTCCTGCACGTCACCATTACTGCTGTCCTTCTTGCTCAGGCTTCGAGAGCTGCTTTGTGACACCCGCTGCGTTTCTTCCGCCTCCAGTGGGCTGTCGGTGCTGTTCTCTTCAGCTGCGGCCGCCGCTGCCTCACTCACCCTCTTGCTTCTCCTCGAGCTGCGGGAGCTCGTCTCCAGCTCCGCCTCGGCTGTGGCCTCTGTCTTTCTTCTGCGAGCCATCTGTGGGCCAAGACATTCATTAGACACCGTAATATAACGGAGGGAGGACAGCATCTACATAATACAAATAATAATAACAGTACAGCAGCAATAATAACATGTTAAGGGCTAAATTAGAAAGAAAAAAAGAGAAAGTGGGAGAGGGAGAGGGAGTTAGGTTTATACGTATATATATATATATATATATATATATATATATATATATATATATATATATATATATATATATATATATATATATATATATATATATATGTATACAATTATATGTCTATGTATATATGTATATATACATATATAGATCACACACATACATATATTTATATATATCTACATACACATTATATATATATATATATATATATATATATATATATATATATATATATATATATATATATATATATATATATATATATATATACATGTATGTGCATATGTACATATATGTACATATGTACATATACACATATATGTATGTACATTTATGCATAGACATACATGTATGCATACATGTATATTTATGTATATATACATGTATATGCATATGCATGTTCATGTATTAATATGTGTATATTGGTATATATGTATGAACGTATGTTTATATGTAAACATATGCATATTTCTGTATGTTTGTTTAAATATATATATATATATATATATATATATATATATATATATATATATATATATATATATATATATATATATATATATATTATAAAATATATAATATATATATATATATAATATATATAATATATATTTATATAATATATATATATATATATTTATATAATATATATATATATATTTATATAATATATATATATTTATATAATATACAATATATATTTATATAATATATATATATTTATATAACACATATATATATATATATAATATATAATATATATTTATATAATATATATATATTTATATAATATATATATATTTATATAATATATATATATATTTATAAATAAATAAATAAATAAAATCCCACAGTGACGTGAATATGCCATCATGGGAAAATCTGGCTGTGGGCCAGGGTGCCGCGAAATTGACGTCATGAGCACTTCGGCTGACGGCCAGGATAATGGGAAAGACTCTTCACCAGTGCACAAATTTCTTGGGGGGTGATTAGATTTGTTTGGCACTTAGATAGGGACTTTTGCATTATCTCCATCAATAAATGTGTGTGGAATGTGGTTTCCATGAGCCATGATTAGAAGAACACTGGCTCCTGGGAGGATGCCATATAAGAAAGAAAAAAAATCAGGTGATGTCACATACTACTTCTGGACACTTGTGGGGCTATCTATATGTAAACATATTTCACCAAAGACTACAGTAAGCAATGTATATTCCTGATGACCTATGGTTAAAATATTTTACTCCCTTACCTACATTATTAGATTACTACAAATTAATTGAAAAGTGCAAATAAGTAAACATCCTAGTAATTTCACTGAACCCTTGTTATGACTTCAGTAAACTTTATAAGGACTTCTCTACCAATAATGGACATAATATCAGATCACACAAGAGATGAATTACCTTCTCACTATCTGACGCTGAAGAGTCCGAATCACTTCCGGTTCCCGATGTCTCCTCTTCGGATTCCGGGTCAGTTTCCTCAACTTGTTCACTGATCCTACTCCTTACTAAATCTGCAGGAGTTGCCTCATCCCTTTCCACAAGATCCTTTTGTTTCTTAGGATCTTCAGAGGCTGGGTTTGATGCTGGATATGGAACACCAGATGACAAAGTATCTTTTGAAGTCAAGCGCCCTTCCTTATCTAGTGCACGCGAGTTAACAACACACTCCGGCGTATCTGTCCTCTTGACAAAGGGATTTGGTTCTGATATGGGAACGCTGGGAGAGTTTCCACTTGTACAATCAGTCTGATAAGATGGTGCTGCTGATACACTCAAAGATTTAGCCTCAGCAGTTGCTATATCATTCAATGGAGTGTCTAACTCCTTTGTGATACTTTCAGTTAGGTTCTTAACGAAACTGAGAGAACAGTTACAGTCTTTCTGATCATACACTGTACTTTTAGATAAATGTAGATTATCTGCACTTGTATCAGTATTTAATTCCAAGGGATTACCAACCTGCTCTCGTTCTTGAAGTTTATCTTTCGTATTTGGATAACTTTTATCCTTCCGAAGATCTGGAGGATGTGATGATACTGAATCACTCTCGAGTTTTCTGACTTTACCAAGAGTTGTGGAAACTTTGAGGGAAGATTTGTGAATATCTTGATCCTTCTGTTTCGATGTTTCAGGAAAGACTTTTAATAATCTACTTTCAAATTGGTTCTGTTGCTCAGCAGGTACAGCCTTTGATTGTTCTTCTACAACAGGATTTTGGATTTCAGAATCAAGTGACTTTTTGTCTTTTGACTCACTACGGTCTTTCTCTTGAGTCAAAGTGGCTTCACTCTTTTCTGAGGAACTGGAATCAGCACTTTCACTCTTCAAAGATAATACTTCCTTTTCTGTAACTGAATTGTCAGGTTTGTCCTCCTGATGTGATTCTCTCTTCTTAGATAATAATGAACTCTCTTGAATTGTAATATCCTCAAAGAAATTGAGAGAGTCTTTCTCTACTGGACTTGGTTTCAACACAGGAGTATCTCTTTTTTCTAATTTATCTTCTTTACACTCTTTTTGCTTTGAAATACAGACAGTGCTACTTCCAAGTTCGATTTCTGGGCTCCTATCAGTAACAGACTTTAGGCCCTCTTCTACACTTGATTCCTTTTTAGAGAAGTCTTCTTTCACACAGGTTATTTCCTTAGAAAGTTTTGATTCTAATGCTTTGGATGCCTTGGTATTTTTGGGAGAATCCTCCTTAGCACTTCCTTGCCATGAAACAGATTCAGCTTGCTGTTTGTCAGCTGACTTTGAAGCGAGTAAATCTACTGCTGAAATCTGTTGCTTACCTTGCCTAGCTGTAGACTTGCCAAGTGTTGTTTCTTGGACTTTTAACTTCTCAATACCACAAAATAAATTTCCCTGGCTGGAGGATAGGACTCTCTGGCAATTTGGAACCTTTGATTCTGTGTAAGGATCTTTGAGGTTATTTAAAGTTTTCAGGTCTTGCGATGATAGGCCTACTTTGATAGAGAGCTCTTTGTGACACTCTACAGGGTCTTCTTTTGATTCCTTTTCTTTATGATTATCTACAGCCACAACAGATGAACCTTCCTCTTGTGATGATACTCCTTGCTTACTTGATACAGGTTTGAGGTAATCTGAAGTTCTATCTTGCAAGTCAGACTGTATGGAATCACCTGAAACCTGTGCTTCTAAAAAAGACTTGGTCTCGTTTACTGGAGCTTTAAAAGACTGGTTCAAATAGCAAGGGACAGGTGGGAGGGGCAAACCTTCTGAAGCAGTTTGACTGTTTCCTTCTGGTTCAGCACCACTCTCAGAACAAACTTTCTCAGGTATGACTTTCTCAACACTGGGTTTTGCAAGGTCTGTCTGTGCTCCTGGAACCTTTTGTGGTTCCTTTGGTTCTTCTGATTCCTTTGCACTTTCAGCCTTTACACCAAAAACACTGCTAGATGCTTTGGCCTCTGTGAAACTAATTTGAGAGTCTGGAGGTGGACAGATTGCAACTCCACCTGTGACCTCTGATTCTTTCTGAGTGTTCTCACTTGTCCTCACAGGAAGTGGCTCCTTCTTACTACCGGGAACTTTTGATGTGACAGTAGCTTCTCTCTTAGTCACTGGTTCTTTTTCACTATCAGAAGCTTTTGATTCTAAAGCTGATTCTTTCTGTTTTTCTGAAGCTTCTAATTTCACAGCTGGTTCTTGCTCACTTATGGGAGCTTCAGTTGTTTCAGCCAAATCTTTCTCACTACTTAGTAGGTCAGTTACGGTTTGCTCTTTCTTTTTACAATCTTCAACTGATTCTTCCTTAGCGTTGAATGTTTTGCAAGTTGCAGTTGGTTCTTTCTTACCAGAAGGAAGTTCTTTAGGAGCGTTCTCAGATGTGATTGCTGACTGTGGTTCCTTCTCACTACTGGGAACTTCTGATGTGACACTTGGTTCTTTCTTAGTCACAGGTTCCTTCTTACTAGTGGCAGCTTTTGATCCTACAGCTGGTTCTTTCTCACTTAGGGAGTCTTCTGGTTTGATGGATGGTTCTTCCTCACTAGCTGAGGCCTCAGATTTTATTGATGGTTCTTTCTCACTAGTGGCAGCTTTTGATCCTAATGTTGGTCCTTTCTCACTTGAGGATTCTTGTGCTTGTACAGCTGACTGTTTCTCACTCGTAGAGGCTTCGGATTTTAACGGTGGTTCTTTCTTACTAGAGACGGCTTCTAATTCTACAGTTGTTTCTTTTTCTCTTGGGGATTTCTGGAGTTCTACAACTTGTTCTTTCTCACTGGTGGAGACTTCAGATTTTACTGATGGTTCTTTCTCACTAGTGGCAGCTTTCAATTCTACAACTGGTTCTTTCTTACTTGAGGAGTCTTGCAGTTGTACAGCTGGTTCTCTTTCACTAGTAGAGGCTTCAGATTTTACAGCTGGTTCTTTCTCACTTGGGGAGTCTTGCAATTTTACAGATGGTTCTTTCTCACCCGAGTCTGCTTTAGATTTTGTAGCTAATTCTTGCTTACTAATGGGAGCTTCACTTGTTACAGTTAATTCCTTCTCATTACTTGGAGCTTTAGTTCTAATTAGTTCTTTCTCATTACTGGGAAGTTCAAGTGTATCAGCAGGTTCTTCCTTGTTACTTGAAGTTTTAAAGGTTTCAGATGGTTTTCTCTCACCACTGGGAACTTCAGGCGTCTGTATTGGTTCTTCTTTTCTAGTGAGAAATACTGGTGTAGCTTTAGAAGATACAGATGGCTCTTTCTCACTCTTAGGAACGTCTGATGTGATTCCTTTTTCACCACTAGAAATGTCAGGTGTGGGGAGTAATTCTCTCCGATTACTTGAAACTTCACACGTGACAATCTTCTTATCCTGACTGAGAACTTTACCTGGAGGAGTTGGTTGAGTACTGGAGAGTTCAGATGTCACTGATGGTTTTCTCTCACTACTAAGACCTGATATAACTGGTGCTTCTTTTTTACAGATTTGGAGTTCACCTGTGACAGCAAGCCCTTTCTTTTCAGCAGAAACTTCTGAAAAGACCGATGTTTTTTCCACTTGACTTTGAACCTCTGTTGTAACAGATTTTCCTACACTAGTGGAAATAACAGGTTTTTCTTCTAGATCAGTAACTTCTGCTGTGAGAGATGTTTTTTCCTTGAATTTGGAAATGCCTGATGAGACTTCTGGTTGTTTTTCCCTGCTGGAAGCGTTACCTGTCAGAGGCGATTCTTTCTCACTAGCAGTTGGGTCTTTCTTAACAGAATCTTCTGAAGTGAGGGCTGTTTTCTTCTCACTTTTTGGCTTTTCAGTAGTGAAATCTGTCACACAAGATGCAACTTCTATTACAGATGATGGATCTTCACTACTTGCAGCTTTGATTGCTGAAAGTTTGCTTGATAGCGTTGGTTCTTCCTTGCTGTTTATTACTTTGCTCTCGAGATGTGAATCACTTTTATCTGCTGGGACTGGTTCTTCTCTCTTAGGGAGTGTATCTTTGCTTGAGGAAACTGTAGTGTTTTCAGAAGTCTTTAATTCACTGGAAACAGGAGGATCTTTCTCACCTGAAACTTTGTTCAAGTGTTCACTCTTAGTATGTGTGCGATCTGAAGTTGAGACTGGTTCCTGCTCTCTTTTATCTGAATCTGATGAATCTGGAAGAGTCTGCTCTTCCTTGAGAGGCTTGTCAGTAACCGGTTCAACAGTTTCTTTTCTATGGATCTGGATATCTGTGCTTTTGTTTTTAGGTTCCTTACTGGCTTCCCCTAATTTTTCCTGTTTAGATGGGGCACCTGCCTTGCCTTCCTCTTCTGAAACTGGTTCGGTCTCCTCTATCTTAAAAACCGTTTCCTTTCTCCAACTTGTAGAGGCCGGAGTTTCACTTGCAGTTGAAACCGTAACAGATGTTTTTAAATTTGGAATCAATTTTGCTTTTGTAACAGGTGCTGGTTTGCCAAGTGTATTTACTACAGGGGCTTTTGGGGTTTCAGGAACTACTTCCCTTTTGGTTCCTGAAGTAAGGGTATCCTTCTGGGGCACCTGCTGAGTTCCAGATAATGAACTTTCTTTCGTTCTTCCTTTGTGCTGGTTTCTTGGGCAGCATCTCTTTCTCACTCTTAGGAACGTTTTTCCTATCCTCTACTTTGACTTTTGTAGCTGACTCTTCTTCACAAGATGTTACTTTACTGGCTGTAGTTGGATCTTCTTTACACTCAGTTATTTGGCTTGTAACAGATAGACTTCTTGGACTTACAGTCGTACCTTGGTGTGTGTGATCTTTCTCAACACTTGCTAGCTCTCTCAAATCAGTTCCTTCTTTCTTAGAAGTTTCAAATGTTAAAAATCTGTGTTGGCTGGAAACTGGTATTTCATTAATCCTTCCTTCCGTACTAGTCACTATCTGCGATCTCTCACTGCTTGAGGCATTTATTTTGTTTAGGTTGTGGCCAGATGGTTGATTTTCTGCCTTTTTCTCTGCTTCTTTAGTTTCTTTTAAGCTTGTATCTGTAGGCAGTGGCCTTTCAAGTTTTCCTACTTTTACAAAACTTAGTTCCTGGGACACATCAGATTCCTTGCAAGGCTCAGGGTCAATTTGTTCCTTGCTCTCTACAGATGGGTTAACCTGCTGATCCTTTTTATCTGCTGGGCAAGAGGCAAACTTTCCTCTGTCTTCCTTGGTTGACTCAACGCTGGTTATCTTTTCTGGAGGTTCAACTTTAGGCTCAGGTTGTAACCTATTCTTGCTATCAGCCTGTGATCTGTTTGCAACTGGAGGCAGCAACTTTCCTGCAACTGTTGTTGCTGTGGGATCTGGTTGTGATTCTAAGTCTGGCTTCTTCTCTGTGTCTGGTTCCTGTTCAGATGGACTTTCTTTGGAGGCTTTATTCCATTTGCTCTTGCTTGTCTGACCTTTATCAGACTGCTCTCTTTTATCTGAATCTGATGAATCTGGAAGAGTCTGCTCTTCCTTGAGAGGCTTGTCAGTAACCGGTTCAACAGTTTCTTTTCTATGGATCTGGATATCTGTGCTTTTGTTTTTAGGTTCCTTACTGGCTTCCCCTAATTTTTCCTGTTTAGATGGGGCACCTGCCTTGCCTTCCTCTTCTGAAACTGGTTCGGTCTCCTCTATCTTAAAAACCGTTTCCTTTCTCCAACTTGTAGAGGCCGGAGTTTCACTTGCAGTTGAAACCGTAACAGATGTTTTTAAATTTGGAATCAATTTTGCTTTTGTAACAGGTGCTGGTTTGCCAAGTGTATTTACTACAGGGGCTTTTGGGGTTTCAGGAACTACTTCCCTTTTGGTTCCTGAAGTAAGGGTATCCTTCTGGGGCACCTGCTGAGTTCCAGATAATGAACTTTCTTTCAGTTCTTCCTTTGTGCTGGTTTCTTGGGCAGCATCTCCTTTCTCACTCTTGAGACTTGGTTTTCTGGTGCTCTTCTCTAGCAACTCACCAGGTTTGTGCACAGCTTCAGTTATCTGGGTGTTGGTTATCACAGCTGTCTTCACATCTGTGGCTTGAGCGTGATGTTCAGCTGACTTATCAAAGCTTTCAGTTCCTTGGCTAGAGCAAGTCTCATCTGTTGTCTGTTGATCTTTGTCAAATTCTTTCTTTACATCAGTTTCTGTTTTTATGTGCTGGTCAGTCTGCTGAACCTGAAGAGAAGTTTCCTCTTTTTCCTCCTTTTTGGTCGAGTCTTTTGGGGTGTCTTTGGAAACGTCTTTCTTCTGTGCTGTTGTCAGCAACTTTTCCCAGATCTTTGTTTTGAGTGGACCAGTTGGTAGACTAGCTGCCTTGTGTCCAGATGCAACTGTTGTTCCACCTGAAGTGCTGCATTCAAGCCCTGGTTTTGAGTTTTCCTCTACAACGCTGGGGTCCCTTTTAACATTTGGCCCTTGGGTGACGTCTTGAGCAACCTGACTGTGTTTGTCAGGTTCCTTCTTTTCGGCAGTTTCTTTTGAGAATTTGCAATCAGAATGTGGCTTTGTACTATCAGTTTTCCATTCTGGATCACTGGACTCATATATCACAGTTTTAACTTGAGTTTCCCCAACGGTTCTTCCTACACTCTGTTTGGTGCTGGACAAACTCTCTGCTGGGGGCACTATTACCAAACTTAATGCACTAACACCTAGGTCTTCTGTGCTTTTGGATCTCTGTTGAGGACTTTTCAAACTGGGCAAATGCTTCTGGTCAGGCTGGTCTTGTGCATCAACAGCTGCAGATTTGTTTTTGTTTGCTACAATAACAATATCTTTATTTTCACCTGTAAGGAGTGTTCTTAATGTTGACGACTCTACTCCTTTACTGGTATTCAAATCACTCGGTTCTTTTCTTTTTAGAGTATCGACTTTTGATACAGTTATGGAACTGTAAGCCTCTAGTCTTTCCTCTGCACTTAGTTTATTTCCAGATTTGCTTTCCAACTGATTTCTCGCATTCTCTCTCTTCGTAGAACTTTCTCTTTCTGCTTTTCTTTCTGGTTCTTGACTTTCACTAGCACTTGGGCTTTTCCAACTCAAGCTAACAGGACTCACTACTGGTTCATCTTTGGCAATTTGTCTCTCAGTGCTGGGTACAGCCTCTATACGTCTCAGCGAAACCGTTGGTTGTAAACTTGCATAGTCTGGTCCCTGTGAATTTGCACCGGCCTCACTGGGTTCGTGTTTTTTAGGGTTAGTCCTTAGCGATCTTTTCAACCAGTCTAATGGCACAGGAGAATCAGGTTTGACCGATGTATCTTTCAAGTTCTTGGAATCACCAACACTGCCTCCGCTTTTCCCTGGGGGTTTCGGTCCTTCCTGAAGACATGGATTTTTCAGATTATCACCGGTGGATCTAACACTTACATCAGGTACTAAGGTCTCTCTGTTGAGCGAGCCTTCAATGTCTTGTGGAGGGTCATTCACGTGCTTCCTAATGCTATGAACAGGGCGTCTGCACTTTGCATCCAATAAACTATTAGGTTCTTTCCTATTAATAGATACACTCTCTATTCTTTTCTTTGGTTTTTCATCAACTGTTGTTGAAACACTTAAATTCACATTAGGCACAGGTTCAGGTAACTTAATCCTAAGAGACGGCACTCTGTCTTTGAGATCACTGCTCGGGGGACTGCTCAGGTGGCTGGTGCCAGCTGCAACGAAGTCAGGATCCTCTGGGGTCTGCGAGTGCCGCGCTGAGCGCTTCCTGGAACGCCTCACAGGTGGCTGACGCTCCTCCCTTCCCTCAGAGTCATCCTCCTCCTCTGAGTCTTCGAGTGAGACTCTACTGAGCTCTCGAGCAGCACGTGCTGAACTTCTACTAGGTCTACTGGAACTTGATGATGTTGAGGGTGTTTGTGGGGTGGTTACTGCTGTTGCATCATTCTTTAATTTAACCTGCAAAACACGAGCACCACTATAAGGGGACTTGTACCATCATCCTACAGAATACTTCATCAAAGAACATAATTCTGAAAGACCATACACTACCAATAGTACAGGGCAGAGAGATCAACAATTGCTTCTGGGACTCTAACGCACTTCTCAACTGCTGACTTACAGCACAAAATATGAACAAAGGTAAAAAAAAAAAAAAAAAAAAAAAAAAGGAAGTTAAAAAAAAAACTAACCTTAATGGTAAGTTGAGTCTGTGGCTTTTCTCTAGGTGGTGTTCGAGTGGTCAAAGGTACCGAGGTTTCACCACTAGTTATACGGGGTGCAGTGCCAACCACTGTGTTTGCATATGCCTTTGCAGCTCCCTCTTTAGCCGCTGGTGCTTGTCCGCCGGATGACAGTGAGGTTACGCCAGCAGCTAAGGAGGTTCTGACAGAGGGACTTGGGGATGGCTTGTGAGCAGGACCTGAGCTTGCTTTCGCAGTTAAATCTGGAGTAGTTTTGCTCACAGGATGTATGTGCACTCGGCCAACACTGGCTGTTCCTCCTCCTCCAGCTGCTGCTGTTGATGAAGTCGCTGGAGGGGTGCTGTGGGATGAGGGAGTGGCTTTGCCTGGTTGCTGAGAGCCCCCAAGAGCCGCCTGTTGGACTGAGGGCAGAGCCGCTGTTGGAGTTGATGGCGCTGCCCCTTCTCCACTGGTTTCTAGGAAAAACAAGGTTCATTGCGTTATATTTTGTTTTGAGGAGAGATGAATTTCGTTTAAAGTATAAACAAAGAGAGAGTGCATGACAAAGTAAATAAATCAAAGGTTTCTTATGGTTTCTCAAGAGAAAATTTCGACAAAAGGATACACAGAATTGCACTCAAGTTTTTAACTGTATGTGAAAATGACTAACCAATTTAAACATTAAAAAAATGGGAAAAATAATAAGAAATTTATAAACTACCACAGAATGGATTAAGATTTTGTTAAACTCCAATAGGAAAAAAAAAAAAAATCTAATTTGATTTCTGAAAAGAAATGCATGAAAAATACAGGAAAGTAGTGAAAATACAAAAAGGTGCAGATCCATCAAATTCCCCACATGAACGTATGCATAACTTTTGTCCAGCCTAGCAAAACAGAGCGTAAATTGAAGATAAGCTACGTTGGAATCAGCATTTGAAATGCGTCGTCTACCAGGGCCCTATTCCAGCTATAAGCCAAGATCACCAACCTCTATACTGTCTTCTAGCTTCAATTTGCTGCCTGTAGAGGGCCTGCTGGGACTGAAAATATTCGCGGATAAAGTCGTTGTCTAAGTTGGCTTCATTTTGCAACTGGGGAAGGAGAGAGAAAGAGAATAAAATCAATGGTAAATATAAATGTAAATAAATGAATTGAGAGAAAAAAAAACTAATATTTATAATAAAAATGGTAATAAACAACTACAATAATAAGGCGAGATTCAGATAAGGTTGAGGATGATGATAAAACTAATACTAATATCAATGATAATAATGACAGTGACAATTATCATCACCATAATGATAATGACAATGATAATATTCAAAATAAACAAATAAATAATAATAACAGTACAACAGCAATAATGTTAAGGATTAAATTAGAAGGAAAAAAAAAGAGAAAGAGAGATTTAGTGCTGCAACCAGTCAAAAAATATATGTATGTAAATATGTATATGTATACATATATCTTGGCAGAGAGAGAGAGGGAAAAGAAAGAAAGTAAAAGAAAGATTGAAAGAAAGAAAAAAAAAATTATATATATGTCTTAGACTATACATTATGGTGGTGGTTCCCTTAAGGAGATGATGATAAAGGAATTCTACAGACAACAGATACAAAAAATTATTGTTACTTGTCACTCTCCAAGGGAAAAAAATATATATAAATAACTAAAATCAACGAATGACTTATAAAAAAAGGAATAAGAGAAAATAAACTTGGCATTGGCAAAGTTCAAAAGGGTCACAGGACTTTACTTACCCATCTATTGGGAACTTCCTCCTCACTTATAGCAGCTGTTGCCTTGGACTTTGTGTTCTCAAATTGTACACTCTGAAAATAAGAGGATCTCTATGAAATGATCTGCCTGGAAAGGGGGCTTTAGGTATTGATAAAAAGGGGTTTGCACAGTGACTAGAAACCAACACAGAAAAAAATATGGCAGAGGTAAACGAAACCTCATTAAGAGAATTTGCTCTTTACTCACTCTCTCTTTTCATACGCAAAATTCTTAAAGGCAATACATTATGAATGCCAACCTAATTCAAACTTTACCATACATAATAAAAGTCCAGCTATTTCACATGCCTGATATAAAATCCTTCTGTGATCTGATCATGCAAGAAAAGAATAGATTTTCATCTACTGTTTCTTGATACAGTTGATAATAAATACATATTAGAACCTACAGCAATAAATCATTCCAAATTTCTCTTGCAGTTGTCTTTTCTGGTTCAACTTTTTCAATGGTCCACACTACATTTACAAATAACAATGAAAAGGCTGGAAACACCAAAATGGAAGAGCTCCTATAAATGCTCTCCCTCAAACATAATCAAAAATAATTAGATAACTGATGGCCAAAAATAAACCTTTCAATACTTTGGTCTTTTGGTTTCTTTATCAAAATAGCAATGTAAACATTCTTGTTTCTAAATATTCAGGAGATAAAACAAAGTTAGAGAAATAGGTCAGCCCTTCAACATAACAGATGACATCAGGGTGAATAAGATACCAAGGTTAAAGACAAATCACATCACAAGCCAATGTCCTCTTCAATAAGACAAGTTCTCATGTGTCCTACCTTGAGCTGGACACTTGCCTGTCCTTCCATAACTCTGCCTAAATATTTTACATTTTGTTATAAAGGTAACACACCAGTTTGGGTACCTGCTTAGAAATCATTCCACGATTTTTCACAGAGTACGTAAACTTTTTTTTCTTTTTTAAATTAAAGGAGAGGTCAAACGAACAAGAAACCTGAAATAAATTCTGAAAATCTTCTAGACAAATATATCTTTGTAGGATGAATTATTTATATCACCAATGTCATTATCATTCTTTTTCTTATCACTGTCAATCTTATAATCCCTTGTATAGATAAAAAAATATATATATATATCCACATGTATATACAGTATCTATCTTAAACAAAATATGTTTGTACACACACACACACACACACACACACACACACACACACACACACACACACACACACACACACACACACACACACACACACACACACACACAAAAATATAGAATATATCAAATGTTGCTATTTCCTATAACAGCTGTAATTTGGTAAATCAACTCTTTAGATTGAAGAATCTATTTCTTGGCCTAAAAAATGTCACTAGAAAGCTCTAAAGGAACAGCTGATGTCAGAGAGTCACAGATGTGTCGCAAGTTTCTGAAAGAGGTTTTGAATGTAAAAAGGCTGTGAAGCACTGACAGTATGTATATATGGCATGTAATATACATCCTGAAAATAGTGTATATGCATGTGCACGTGTGTGTGGGTGTGTGTATACATGTGAGTGCATATGTGAGCAATATGTACACAAGTGCATTTTTTGTTTGAGCTTCATCTTGTATTTTTACATAACTTGAACTGTAGTATAAACTTTTTTTTTAACCATTTGATTACTTTGTCATCTACATCACAAAAGATCAGCATAGAGGCAAAAATACCTTTATAAACCAAGCAAGAATCAAAACGTGATCATGACAAAATCCTTTACCATTCATTTTGAGTTGTGCAAGTAAATAATATCATGCAACTTCAAAAAGGTTCAGTACCAAATATTGGAGGCATTAATCATAAATGTTTTTCTCTCCTCCTCCTTACAAATTCACTGACAATACAAGTAAATATCTTGCTACATACTGAATATATTAACCCTAAATTTATTCTATTTCAAAATGAATACTTGGTTGTTCAAATTTAAAATAATTCACACTTCAAAATACATCAAATTAATCACATGAATCTAAAATCACTTTGATGAGAGTTAAGCTAAATCAATGACTGTAAAAAAAGCCAAGAGGGCACTGTCAGGCTGCCCCAAGGCACATCAGAGCTGCCACCTCCATGGGGAAGCAAGTTTATATATACCCCCTGGAAGCCTGTTGAAGGCAGCACATGGCAGAATGAGCTCTGCTCTCTCATATCACTTTTAACTCTGATATTCACTTTATTTATTTTTAAAATTTTTTTTTTCATGTTCTTTATCTAGGCTTATAGTCTGTTCAGTCCCTGTGGATACCAAATATGGGGAGAACCAAAGGTCATACCAGTGATAGAAAATTATTTTATCACAAAGAGGGAGACATTGTTTTTTTTTTAGCTCTTTCAGCAATAAATATACTAGCAGGATGTTTTTCTTGTCTTCTTTTCTTTTATAATTATGAATTGAATTAAGGGATTGGTGGAAAATGACATTAGCTTAATAATTTACTATTGAATATAAACACAAAATGTCTGCAAAAGAATAATCATCACAAGTGAATTGTCTACAATGAAAAACGACATAATGTAGTTAAAATGGCTTTTTCTACTAAAGAATGGAGATTTTTAGCATATCATAAGATTTCTAGTTTTCTTGGAAATAAGAGATACTGAATACAATAAATAATAATTACTTTGAACTTTGCTCTATAATGAAACAGTATCTAACCAAGACTAAAGTAAATATATAGAAATGCCTGCTTGAATATTACCACAACACACATACATACCCATATACACACAACACACCACTTTCACGTTTTCTACTGTCTTGCAGATACACGAGTTCCAATCCCTTACTCAGAAGGTGTCAATCTACCCCTATGGAGGTTAACATGTTATACGCTACCCGGGTATAACTAGAAACGCATACAACAATATCCAGGCATTAGGCTTACTTGGGTGGCAACTCTCCTGGGTGTATGGCTTGGTGGGTCTAGTTACATGAACATGATTACGCAGTATAAAGACTACGTGCTCCCTCTTTGTAATGCTATTAGCTCTTCTTCTGCAGACAAATTTTTATTTTGGTATTTTTCACAATGCCTTTATGGTTTTAATTTTTCCTACTGTTATATGTTATCCTGTTTTCCTTGAACAGACTCCATATTCTCTCTCTCTCTCTCTACAAAAACTAAAAAGAAAGATCATAATCTCTTCTATATTTTCATATTAGTAAATATTCCATTAAAAAAGCCTTCGCCACCAGCCACAGCCAACAGGAAATAGTGGCTATCCTGGAGCTGCGGAGCAGGCACTTGCCGCCCAGCAGGAATCCAGGATGGAAAGCACTACCTTTATTTACCTGCGGAAATAAAGAGCCCCTTCCTAAAGCCCCCCCCCCCCCTTAATCAATCTCCCTCCATATTCTTTGTGCACTAGTGGTGAGACATCCCCACAACCTGCTACCTAGTAATAATATCCCACAGTGAGACATTACCATCACCCTGTTCCTCAACCATGTTTCCCGATGATGAGATGCTCTTGTCAGCCAAGCCCTTAACCCAATGACGCCGGGTGTACAAAAGGAAAATAAAACTCTACGCTCTGGCAAACAAAGGCGGCGCGCCGACTTTGAGCGCCGGAGTTCGGGGCGTCAGCCCGAATCACTGGCTCGCCGCGCTTTGGCGCGCCGCCGGCTGGTTTGGCCGCACGCCACCTTTCGAGCGATTTGTTTACACGCGTATCGCCGTCACCCGGCGGCAAGGGGTTAACCCCTTGCCTACAGGCATGACATATACGTACATGCTATGCCAGGCCGGGCCATAGCCGAAGGCCCGGGCGAAGCTAGAACTTCGCAAATCACAATCATGCTATGCCCACTGTGAGTAGTTATTTGATTGTTTTTACACATAGATGGCTACACTTGTACCAAGTCACCAATGAGCCAGTTACAAATACTGCCTGTCTCACCCATTTACCCTTTTCTTTGATTTACAAAAGTATTTTACTTTATCTTATTTTGCTGTTACTAATGTTTATAACATTTTAGTCATTATAATGTTTATAATAAAAATAACACCATCGATATTCATAGCACTAGTAAAAAATAAATTTCTCCTGCCAATTCAAATCACGTAAGGTCACAAGGTCTACTAACTGATTCTTTTGTGGCTAAGCACTAGCAGAGCCATCCATGTGCAGAGACATTTCACAAAAATATTCCTTTCCCCCGGCGGCATTGACATTAACTTCTCCATGACAATTCCATGACATTCCTATCATTCACCCTTTCCAGATTTTTTCATGAGTTGCCACCAATCAAATACCACTCAACACCTATCAATGTCTTATTTACATACCCATAAAGAGCATCACTAATACTGAATCCAACACAAAGAGCAAGGTACACCACCATCAGAACAAATGATAATAATTAAATTATTAATGAAATAAAAAGTTAGATTAATATAGGGATTGATATCAAAGACACTAATTTGTCTGGTTACATTACTATATATACGGTATATATAAGTAGATGCATATATCGTATAAATATACACGTATACAAATGTGTATATATATACGCATATGTATGTGTATATATATATATACATATATATTTAATATTTATGACATGTATATGTATATATGTATAAGTATATATATACACATTACAAATGTATGTATGTATGTATGTATGTATGTATGTATGTATGTATGTATGTATGTATGTATGTATGTATGTGTATATATATATATATATATATATATATATATATATATATATATATATATATATATATTTATATATATATATATATTTATATATATATATATATATATATATATATATATATATATAAATATATATATTTATATATATATATATATTTATATATATATTTATATATATATTTATATATATATATATATATATTTATATATATATATATATTTATATATATATATATATATATTTATATATATATATATAAATATATATATATATATATAAATATATATATATATATATATATAAATATATATATATATATATATAAATATATATATATATATAGATATAAATATATATATA